CGAAGGAGCAGATTCGCAATTTGCGTGGTGCTTCAGATTTCCTTGGGATAAATTATTATACGTACGAACGTATAACATCAGTCACCGACATCGATGTTAAAGTTGTGCGTTTCGAATCCGATTACGGGGTGACATTAACAGAAGAAACACAATTTAGGGTATAATACAATTATTCTTTGTTTATTGCTCTTCTTCTTAACATTTACTTTATTAAGATGCGAAAACTTTTATTTTACTTTATTTCAATAAATTCTCTTCCGCTGCATTCTACTTAAATTTATTATTTGTTTAGCAGTTGCTTTGATGCTTGACTAAATAACTGTTAGTCTATCGTGAACCTTTTGAAGTCGAAATTATTACTAGGAAAGTATAATTTGCAAACGTGAAAGATACAATTTGCGCATTTAGGATGCACCATCAATGCTGGGGAAAGTATTACAGCGCATAAACGAAGATTATCATCCCACGATTTACATTACCGAAAATGGTTTTCCTGAATCCGCTTTAGAGGACAAAGCTAAGGTAGCATACCTGCAAGGACACCTCGCAGAAGTATTAAAAGCCATACGGAATGGCGTCGATATTCGAGGTTACCTGTTGTGGACGTTGATGGATAGCGTCGAACAATATTATGATACTCAGTAAGTTCATTGAGTTGTTCAAATGTAAACTTTAACTAGATGTAAATTTATACAGAATTTCGTAATATAAGGAATTATAGTATAATATACGTAATATAACGAATTATAGTATAATATATTTCGTAATATAAGGAATTATAATATAATATAGAAATTATAGTATTTTTGTTTTCCAGAACAAAATTTGGTCTTTTCCACGTAGATTTTAATCATCCGAATCTCACTAGAACTCCGAGACTGTCGTCCAAATTTATAACTCGTGTTTACCAAACACGACGTCTACATTAAGCAGCCTGATATTAAGCTCCGTTATGAATATTGAAAATAATTAATAATATATTATGTAAAAAAATATGTAATAATTTATGACATCAAAAAAAAAATATTGACATATCCACGTATTTACGTATATTATTTATATATGTACAGGATGTTTTAAGTAATGCATTTTAAGTAATGCATTTTAATATCTCTTCTATAACGTGTTATACACAACAATTTTTCAGATAAAAATTGCATAGATTGAACGAGGATACATAATAAAAGTCCAAACTTGAATGATTTTTTCCAGGTCAGACCAAAGTTATCTAAAAATTATCAAAAGGAAACCTCAAATTTTTATTTCACGTCCTTGAATTAACTTCAACGCCTTTTTAAAATAATACAGTAAAATATTTTTTCTTTAAGTACTTTCTGAGTTGCGAGTCTCAAAATTTAACAGATAAAGGTTAAATCAATTCATTATCTTAAAGCAATTACGTCTGAGACCGAGAGAGAATGATGACTTTGGTTGAGTTTAATATGTTATCTCAGGCTCAGGTCGAGAGAACTTTGAATTTTTTAAATATATTTTTTATTCTTCTTTTAACCTACTTTTAGCGTTACTCAGGTACAACGGAGTAGACGTAGTAATTTTCTAATCCTTTTAGATGCATCAAAAATTGTTTGCGATTAAAGAGGGAGAGAGGGGGAATATGATGGGAAAATTTAGTAAAAATAACTTTTTTGCAAAAGTCTACAAATTCGTTTGTACTAACTTGCAAAATTCAAAATTTATTTATAAAGGTACAATGAAGACTTTAATCAATCAAATAATCTCCATCATTTTCGATGACCTTAAGCCAACTATCAGGTAGCTGACGAATTTCCCTACATTAAAAACTTTACGGTTTCGAGTCAATGAAATCATCAATACACACTCTTAGCACATGCGAAACTATATTCTAACATATAGCATAAAAATTTCCGCGATATCCATTTGCAGTGAGCAATTACGATAAGATATTCCATAGTCAAAGTCGTATCAGTATATGAAAATTAGAATTTATTAGCCTCATATGAAAATGAGATGTCTTATCGTAAAATATTCATATACGGTCTGATGATTTTACCTTACTTTAAATTTAACTTATAATTAAGCTATAGT